GGTAGTCCCGCTGGATCTGATTGAGGACGTGTTCCATGGGAGAGTTGAGTGGTGTGTACCGCTCGAACCGACCGGGCGGTCGGGTTGGAGCCGACCGGTCGGCTCGGTGCGGTCGATCATTATAGTGGGGTGTTTGGCTATTATACTGGGTGGTCCTGGGTTCTGAGTCTTTCCTCTTGTCTCTGGGGGTCGGATTTTTAAGGGTTGGCTCTCGCCGAGCGGCCAGGGAATCTTCAGCATTCATGTATTTCTGGGCTTTGGATAATAGGGCTGCCATGGTGGTTGGAGGGTTTTTGGAGAGGGAGAAAAGAAAGTCGGACGACCACAGGCCGGCCATGAAAGCCATGAGGATGACCTTGTCGTCATTCTCTGCTACTTGAAGGGCTTCGGTGTTGAAGCGGGTGACGAAGCTGCGGAGCGACTCCCCCTCGGTCTAACGAATGTTAAGGAGTTGGGTGGCTAGGCGTCTCTGACGCTGGGCTCCAATAAAATGGCTCAGGAAATAGTCACTGAGGTGTTGAAAAGTGGAGACGGAGTCCGCCGGTAACTGGCTAAACCACAACCGAGCTGATCCCTTCAGTGTCACTGGAAAAGCTCGGCACATGATCTCGTCAGGGAAAGCATGGAGGATCATGAGGGTGCGGTAGGTTTCCAGATGGTCGACTGGGTCCGTCGTGCCATCGAAGGAGTCAATGGTAGGCATCTTGAACTTGGCGGGCAATGGTTTGTCATGGATGGAGGCAACAAAAGACGAGTTGGCGGTGACTGAGGGCTTGTGCTGAATGTTCTGTATGACCCCTTGTAGTTGGAGTTTCATAGCTCGGAGTTCAGCGTCCCAAAGGGGAATGTTGTCGCCATGGTCAGTCAATGGAGGCTGGACACTGCTAGCTTCCCCCTCAGGAGCCAGTGCTACGACTGACGGGCGTGGAGGTGGAGGTGGTAGGCTTACATGTGGAGGAGGAGGGGGTTGTTAACCTTCTAGGTTGAGCGGAGGGGGTTGTGGAGCAGTGTGGCCTAGGGTTCTTTCTTGGTTGGGTGGGATATCTGGAGGTGGAACAGGGAGGTTTCTTTGGAGTAAAGCACTGATCAGGGCCTGGTTTTGCTCGGCCATACGGTTAATGCTGTTAGTGAGTTCGATGATGTATTGTGGTGGGTTGTTTGGATGGGAAGGGTCTATTTGATGATCGGCGGTATTGTGGTGAGAAGCCATGGACCTAGTCGTGACCATACACCTAGACAGGTGAGAGGAAAAGATAACGGTGAGAAAGGAGGGCTCCGGCGATAGTGAACACAACTAGCGCACGAATAAACCACAAACTTCCCACAGACGGCGCCAACTGATAATACCGTCCGTCCCGGGTGGATGGGTCGGGCTGGTCCAAGCTCTTCAAGTTCCGGTTCAGGGTGATGATTCCGCCAAATGACCTGCAAGCAAGTCCAAAGGGGAACGGGGCAGTCCCCCAGTGAACCCTCCGGCGAGAGAATCAGTAGAGGAAGAAGGAAATGTAGAGAGAGAGAGAGAGAGAGATAAAAAGCTTAACCTTCCTCTTGTCTTCGATTCTTGTAAAATTAAATCTTTAATTATCATAATGCCAAAATCCATAAATAATAAACAATCCTTGTCATATGAAATCATCCACCAAGTCCACTACTATAATCCATTAACAAACTAGTAACCCAGAGTCCACTACTATAATCCACTAACAAACATCTAAGTGAGCATGCAAGACTAAGAGTTCAATCAAACAAACCAACAATATAAAATACACAAATTAAATCTTTAATTATCATAATACCAAAATTCATAAATCTGTGTTCCACCTGCCATGTGCCCGAATGCCATTGGCCCTCCATGTCTAGATGGCCCCCAGCTGTCCTGGGCTTTGCCAACCGGGTTATGCTATTGGTCCCAAGCGATGGGTTTGGGGTGGTTTGATGTGGGCCGTATGCCTTGTGGGCCTATCCATGTCAATCATAATGTCAAAATCCATAAATAACAATCCTTAAATCTTTAACATAATTAAATCTTTAACAATCCTTGTCATATGAAATCATCCACCAAGTCCACTACTATAATCCATTAACAAACTAGTAACCCAAAGTCCACTTCTCTAATCCACTAACAAACTAGTAACCCAAAGTAAATTAAAATCATAGTCCTACTCTCAGCACTCTCACAAATAACTAGTAACCGAAAGTAAATTAAAATTATAGTCCAACTCTTGACACTCTCACAAGTAAAAACTCGTGCAGCTCTACTCCTCAAAATCTGAAAAAATAAAATAAGAGTAAGCTAAATAGCCCAGCAAATAATCAATAAAATAAGGGTAAGCTAGACAGCCTAGCAAATAACCAACCATCACTGTTAGCTGGATCAAGTATACAAAAAAAATAAATAGTCGATAACCAATAAAATATAATTTTTGCTACAATTCAATAAATGAACAATTATTTGCAAGATGGTTTCATAGCTGAAAATAAACAATGTACAATACATTTTAATTGAAAAGAGAAAACGAGATAATTCAAAGTAATTTCGTTGTTCAAATTGATAGTTCGATATTCATATGGTTTAATGATTCGATTCACGAAACTCAAGTCTGTGTGACTATGGTCACTTAGCCCGTGACAAAGTCTAGAACCACACATAGGCCGGTGGTGAAACCCCAAAAGAAACTAATTTATGTGCCAATAAATAATCCCTATTGACTAGAGTCCAAATCATAGCCAAACTAGAGTAATGTTCAAAATTCAAACAATACACAACCTTTGAATAAAACATTAGATATTTTCATAATAGTTTCACAAAATATTTAAACAATTTTCATAATAATATCTAATGTTGTATTATACTTGATCCATATTTTATTTTAAGAGAACATGAAGGTTATAAATAAATATTTATAGTTTCAAACGATTTAATGGGAATAAAAATGAACCAACATTGATAGAGGGTTACTTAGCTCAACCAACTAAAATAATATTCCAACACCAACTCTAAACACCCAACGTCACTTAGCTCGTGACAAAGTCTAGAACCACACATAGGCCGGTGGTAAAGCCCCAAAAGAAACTAATTTATGTGCCAATAAATAATCCCTATTGACTAGGGTCCAAATCATAGTCAGACTAGAGTAATGTTCAAAATTCAAACAATACACAACCTTTGAATAAAACATTAGATATTTTCATAATAGTTTCACAAAATATTTAAACAATTTTCATAATAATATCTAATGTTGTATTATACTTGATCCATATTTTATTTTAAGAGAACATGAAGGTTATAAATAAATATTTATAGTTTCAAACGATTTAATGGGAATAAAAATGAACCAACATTGATAGAGGGTTACTTAGCTCAACCAACTAAAATAATATTCCAACACCAACTCTAAACACCCAACTCCACCACTTCAATCACACAAACCTAATAAATAAAACCTCAAATAAATTAATATTTTTATGTGTCTTATACACCCACAAAAGCACCACCATATTAGATTAATGTATTGCTTTAATATCCAAGTGACCAAACCATTCAACCCAACTTTATAGCCAAACACACCCTTACCCATGATACAAAACTCCACTGTCAAACTAGCTACACCCACACACACCGCTTTACCACTATTTCTATTACCCACCCAAAGCTACACTCTTACACGTTGCACCCAAACACCCAATTCTCAAAACCCAGGTAGGCACCTACAGATTTTTCAAATCCCCATAATGCATTGATTGTTTAATTCCTCTTTTCAAATCCCTATAATGCATTGATTGTTTAATTTCTCCAAATAAAATTAAAAATCAATAGTACATGAAAAGTTTTACCTCCACCAATGGGTGTCAAAAATCACCAGTTTTGAGTCCTCAATTCTCTACTGCTGTCTCTTTCTTGAATCCTCTGTCAAATTATGATACAACATAACGTGAAACCCCTTTCTTTTCTTTTTTTTTCTTTCTCTTTTTAACATAAAAGGTTATTAACCTAATTTCTTAAAATTACTAAATTACCCATACAAATTAATTTAATTACTACTTTATCCAAAAAAATAATTCTACATAACTTGGGTTTTACAAGTTGTCACTCTTGGAAGGCGCATTGGCAGATATATATGTGCAAGAATATTCGTCTTTCAAGAATTTGATTATGTTAATGGTCGGACTATAGTAGTGCTGTGGAGTTATCCTTTGTTGGAACACCAATGATAGGTATCATGAAAAATCTTTCATGAAAATAATCATAAAAGATTTGTGACCGTTGGATTACACTTAGAATAAAACACTACACACTAATCAAAGTAATCCAAGGGTCACAAAACATTCATGATTATTTTCATAAAAAGTTTTTCATGATCCCTAACTTTTCCCTTATTGAAAGCTCTCTAGTTTATTTAATGTTTGAGGAATTACTACGCTACAAATTTGAAGAGTTATTACGAATCTCATTGCTTTGCATCTTATCCGATGCAATCCTTTCTTTCCTACATATTTGGTCGTTTTATGAAGATTTTTTTCCCCCTTCTTTTTCATGCTTACGAGCCACTACTAAAGTGGAATAGATAGGATTATCAGCAATGTTAGGTATCATGAAAAACTTTTCATAAAAATAATCATGAAAGCTTTGCAACTTTTAAATTACACTTAGAATAAAACACTACACACTAATCAAGGTAATCCAATGAACATAAATTTTTCATGAAAAATTTTTCATGATCTCTAACTTTTCCCATTATATATACTTGAAGCTGTCAGTTCCCATCCCATTCTGTCCCCACTCCCTTTCAGCCTGGTTGCCCGGATGCTCTCTCTGGTAGACATCAATCTAGTTGTAGTACACCCGATTGACTCATGATATTTTGCGAAGACTTTCATACACAAATATCTTCTCTCTCTCTCTCTCTCTCTCTCTCTCTCTCTAATAAAAAAACAAAAATTTGTCACTGTTTGCAGGAGATAAGTAGATTTGGTTCATGTTAGTTTTAAGTTAGTTATAATTTATCTTCTGAGGTTTCATATCTACTTTATTACCTTCGGTGTAGAGGTTGGCTTGACCATCTTATTTTGCTATATGTTCAATACTATTGGTTGTAGGCAAAGTTGCCCTCGGAATTTTAGTTATGCTGACCACTTGGATATAACTAGTAAATGTTAAACTGCTCAAGTGACTAACTCAGAGTGTTTCTTTGTCTCTTTCTTTCTTTTCTTTTGCTTGGCATTTTGGGCCTACAATACAATATTTTAAGTACTTTGTTTACTTATAGTTCCTTCTCTTGGCCATCTGCAGGAACCTGTTGCCTTCTGAATCCTCCGAACAAAGCGGTACACAATTAGGATCTTTATAGCTGAGGTATCCTTGTTGCTACGCTGTTCCTCTCTCTCTCTCTCTCTCTCTCTCTGTATATATATAATTCACCCCAAAGTTTAATAAAAGTTGATAGGAAAAGCTAGGAACACCTTTGTTTGTTGTGCATCTAACAGTTTTGAAGATTAATCTTAAACGCTGTGTTTGGTTAGAAGATTTGAGAGAGATTTGAAAAGGGAACGGGAAAAAGTGTGTAAAATTATATTAAATGTAAATATATTTTATTCACATTTCACCTGCCTTTTTTATTTCTATTTCCAAATCTCTCCTTAAATCCCCAAATCAACGTAAAAGTTCCATGTAAGACTCTGTAACAGATCAACTGCCAAAGCATATCTGTACGCAAACTAACATGCCCTTTAACTTTTTGTGTTCTTATTACATAAATCAAGATTCTAAAATTTTTTATGCGAATTGGTTTTGAACACCTTTGCTCCAGATTCTGTATGTGGAGGCATGGTTGCGTGGGGTTGGTCCATATTTAATAGTTGCAATGATTGAACTGCTCTTGCTTACTTGGATTGTTGTCTTTGAATGTTAATTTATATTTTGTTATTTAGGATATCAATACTACAGAAACCTGTGCGTTAGTCAGTAGGATTGTCGTCTTTGCTTGTTAATTTATATTTTGTTATCTAGGGATGTTAGTACTAGAAACCTGTGCAGTTTGATGTAGTTGATAACAAAGATTCTGAATCAAAATCAGGGGCGAAACTATGTAGGGGCTGGAGGGGTCTTGGCCCCCTTTGATTTTTTACAATTTATTATTACTTTTTTATTTATGAATATTTGTAAAATATATAATGGGATGATTTTTTAATTTTATAAAAATTATCTTACTAATTTTTTATTTCATTAATATTTGACAATGTATAATGAAAATGATTCTTAATAATTTTTTATTTTAAATAATAGTATCAATTTTATTGAGTCAATTTTATTAATACAAAAGGTACATACTAATTCTTTTAATTTTAAAATAAAATAGTATGTATACCTTTTTATGAGTAACATTAGGCAATCTATGTTGGGTATATCTCCTTATTGGAGTGTGAGACCCAATTGGGTTTGAAAAAAGAGTTTAATTTGGTTTAGTATTAATTATAATATATTTTTATATATTATATTTAATTTGTAGAGACCCAATCCAATTTGGAAACAACTAAGGTTTGATAATAAACCCTAGATTCACAATATTTTAGGGTTTTGTTTTTGCTCATCCCGAGGTGAAGAGAATGGTTGCTACACATACTCCACTTTGGTGAAATCAATTTTTTTGGTGTGTGAACAGTGGAATTAATTTGGGTGGTTCTTTGCTTCGTTTTCGGTGTTGATTTGGTTCGTTATTTTGGATTTTCTACAACTCTGATTCTGAAGATTTTTGTTCATTTATTTGGTGAGGTCTTTCCTCTTGTTTATTTGTGATTATTTGGAATTCACCTAAGGGTGGTTTTGTGAGACCATTCGTGTCTCGTTTGTAATCGTTTGGAAACTCTTTGGTTGATAGTGGAATCGGATTTCGATCACGTGGACGTACCTCACATTGAGGGAACCACGTAAAAATTCTTGTGTTGCTTTTGATTTAATTTTTCCCTATTATTTTTTATTCCCATTGATTGATTTACTTGTGGAGAATCACATATTTTCCCCAACTATCTAAAATTTCACTCCTAAATTTATTCACAATAACTTAACAGGAGTTGAGTCTTATTTGATTGACTTCTAAATAATCAAACAGGTCACATTCAATGTTATTCAATGTAAATTTAAAGGTCATGTTTTAGAGATCTTAAGCATTTTTCACTTCTTGTATACTAAAATTATATTAATCAAAAAATAGTTTAAAATAGTAGTTTAACCGATTGTATACTTACTTAGATCTAATAGTTCAAAATTTTTAAAAATTAAGAAAACTATTTATTAGATTTATATAATTTTTTCACGAGATACTTCTTTCACAACGCTTATATAAGAAGATATATTTAATTGCAAATATACCAAAACTAACTCAATATTTTTTATGCATATATATTGGCCTCTCCTAAACAAAATTCTTGGTTCCACCGCTAATCAAAATGTTTAGGACAGAAATATTTTTACGACAGTAGTTTCAAGAAGAGGGAGAGGGCCAAGGAAGTCACTCAGTATATTTTGAGTCAGTCCCCTTCCAATTTTTTATCCTCTTATTTTTAAGAAAACTATTATATAAGAAGTTATATTCAATTGCAAATATACCAAAACTACTCAATATTTTTTATGCATATGCCTCTCCTAAACAAAATTCTTGGTTCCACCGCTAATCAAAATGTTTACGACAACAAATAGACCCGTTTGTGAATAGGCTTGAGCTTGGCTCGCTCAAACTCAGTTCGTTAATTTTTTGCGTTCGAGCTCGAGCTCGAGCTCGAACTCGTTAAATTTTTGATAAACAAGCCTAAACATTCTAAAATTCGGCTCATAAGCTCTGCTCGTTAGTTGACTCGTTTAATATTTATTATCTATATATTAAATAATGTAAAAATATGTATAAAAAAATAAGATAAGTATGTTATTTATATATTTGAAAAATATAAATATAAATAATAGTTAACTATCGATAATATATTTATATGATAGTGGTAGTAGATATTATTATTTTAATAAAATATTGACTCTTTTTTTTAGAATATTTATATATATTGTATATATAATTGTATAATCAAAATTTTAATTATAACTTTAGTCTCTTACGCAAGTATAAATTTATAAATTTTTGAACTCGTTATGACTCTTGAATAAGTTCGAGTTCAAGTCAAGCCTAAGTCAACTTGGCTCGAGTTCTGTTCGTTGAATTTTTATTGAGCTCAAGCTCGAGTTCTAATTCGCTAAAATCTTAATAAACAAGCCAAATATACTAAAGTTTGGCTCAACTCGGCTTGTTTATTGCCCTAGTTAAATGATTGTAAAAGTAACCTCATTATTTCATTTCTTTATTGAAATCTGATGAAGTCTTTTCTTTCCTTATCTTGTCATTATTTCATTTCTTTATTGAAATCTGATAAAGTCTTTTATTTCCTTATCTTGTACTTATTAATATATTAGTTTCTCTAGTTTTTTTTTTTTTTTTTTTAAATCAAAATCTTGAATATATTCACTTAGCATAGTAGAACTCTGTTGATACCATGATGCAGTAGTTCAGCATGGTTCGTGGTGCGATATCGAAAATGATCTGCACTGATGGAGGTGCAAACTGCTATGTTTAGTTTTGGGTGGGTACAACTATGTAGCAGTATTTGCTGGCGTCCTCAAGGCATCCATAGCCGGCTGTTTATCAAAATCTTGAATATCTATGATTTTTTTGTTGGTTTCATCGCTTCGACTTTAGTTGCTAGAGCAGTATATATAACTTATTGTCATTGGACTGATTAAACTAATTCAGTCTGTTTTCAGTGTTCCCCAACAATGGATTGCTCTGTCTTTTTCAAGCTCCTTTGTTTCTTCCTACTTTTAGTTGGCATGTCAGCAGCTGTTGTTGCGGATGATCGTAGGACATACATCATCCACGTGGACAAATCAGCTATGCCTTCTCCTTTCCGAGATCATCATAGTTGGTATATGTCAACTCTCTCATCCCTGTCTTCGCCGAATGGTGTTCTTCCAACGCATCTTTATACCTACAACCATGTCTTGGATGGCTTTAGTGCAGCGCTGTCTCAGTCCCAACTTGATCAGCTGGAGAAAATGCCTGGTCACGTTGCCACGTACCCAGAAACCTTTGGAAAGCTCCAGACTACACATTCCCCGAAGTTTCTCGGCCTGGAACCAAATGTTGGGTTATGGCCCGCAGCCAATTTTGGGGATGACATGATCGTCGGCGTTATTGACACTGGAATTTGGCCGGAGAGTGAGAGTTTCAGAGATGATGAAATGCCCCCTGTTCCAGAGAGATGGCGCGGTTCTTGTGAGTCTGGTGTGGAGTTCAACTCTTCTAACTGTAACCGGAAACTCATCGGAGCACGCTCGTTCAGTAAAGGGATGAAGGAAGCAGGCTTGAACATCTCGAAAACATACGACTACGATTCTCCGAGGGATTTCTTTGGACACGGGACACATACATCATCGACGGCAGCCGGAAGCCCCGTGCAGGACGCCAGTTACTTCAATTATGCCAAGGGAACCGCGATTGGAATGGCACCGAAGGCCCGGCTTGCCATGTACAAAGTGATTTTCTTCAACACCACTTATGAAGCCGCTGCATCTGACACTATAGCCGGCATGGACCAAGCCATAGCTGATGGCGTCGATATCATGTCATTGTCGTTGGGTTTCAATGAGACTGCTTTTGAACAAAACCCAATTGCAGTGGCAGCTTTTACAGCCATGGAAAAGGGGATCATTGTGGTATGCGCAGCCGGAAATAGTGGTCCTCATGGTTTTACAATCTTCAATGGAGCTCCATGGATCGCTACCATTGGAGCGGGGACCATTGATCGAGATTATGCTGCCAAAGTGACACTTGGTGACTACGGGGACCTCACTGTCAGCGGAAAATCTGTCTACCCATTAGACTTGTTAGTCTCCAGAGTCCCTATATACTTTGGCCATGGAAATAGGAGCAAAGAAATCTGCGACGACTATTCTCTTGACCCTAAAGACGTTGCCGGGAAGTACGTGTTCTGCGACTTCAGTGAATCATTCGGATTTAACACGTTTGAAACAGACCGAGCTGGAGCTGCAGGAGCAATCTTCAGTACCGACTCTGCCATGTTTCTCTACCCAAGTGATTTCAACAATCCATACGTGGCAGTGATCCAAGAAGTCGGAAATTCAATCAAAGAATACCTAATCAAAGCCAAGAATACAACTGTCAGTATTAAGTTTCAACAGACAGTTTTGGGTACTAAACCTGCCCCAATAGTGGCAAATTTTTCTTCCCGAGGACCGGATCGTAAATCGCCATGGATACTGAAACCTGATATCTTGGCTCCTGGAGTTAATATTTTAGCAGCATATGCACCAAACAGAGGAATTGCGCCGATTGGAGATGACTACGACTATTTGCTTAGCGACTTCGTGCTTCTCTCTGGCACATCCATGGCGTGTCCCCACGTAGCTGGTATATCAGCACTGCTAAAAGCGGTACACAGGGATTGGAGTCCGGCTGCCATCAGATCAGCATTGATGACCACGGCTTACGTGATCGACAACGCGAACGGCACGATCATTGATATGACCACCGGAGTAGCTGGGACTCCTCTTGATTATGGGTCAGGGCACATAGATCCTGTCAAAGCCATAGACCCAGGACTTGTTTATGACCGTAGAGGTTGATGCTGGAGTTGGAGATGTCAGAATACAGAGTGATTCTATTGTGAATTATGGGTATTTGAGCTGGAATGAGGTTAAGGGCAAGCATGTAGTGAGAAGTCCTGTTGTTGCTGCTTTTGCACCTTATCCAAGAGCATGAAAGGTGTTGGAACTTAGAATTGCCAAAATGGTATGTCATAGTCAAATTTTGACGCCTTACAGTTCTAAAAGTTGCAAAATTTGGCAACCATGCTGAAATGGGTGAAATGATGATAGTTTTTTTTTTCTTCTTTTTATTTATAAAAAACTATATTTGTGTGTGCCATGTTAAATTTGGCAGCTCAAATAGCACATGAGCTAATGCTCTCTTGGCCCAATTATAATAATGGTAGTGGCTATAACAATTGCGTTAGAGATGCTACGAGAGTAAGGGTGCCAAGAGAGTACCTTAATTGTATATTATTGTATTTTTCTATTTATTGTTATTATTATTATTTTTTTGTTGGCTTTTGACTGTTTTAGGTATAAACTTGATGGTGAGTACAGTTGACAGGATTGCACTACATCATCATTTTGTTCATTCAATGGCTCGGATTATGTCATGTGTCCAATTGTGCTCTCAAAAAAAAAAAAAAATGTCATTCCACTGATATAAAAAAATTGATCGGTGACTTCTGTCCTCCCTTTGCCCGTCGGGGCAACACCCTTCTCCTTCCCTCACCAACTGCAATCCCACTGCACCACATGATTTTTTTCTTTTTTGGTGGGTGAGATTTATATAAAACAGAAAGAGTAGAGAATCAACCAAAAAAATTAAACAAAATAAACATGTTATAAGGCTAATGATGTGTAAAGGTTATAAGAGATCAAACTTAAACAAAATAAATATGTTATAAGACCAATGATATGTAAAGGTTATGAGAGATCAACCAATTTTAATTTTTGGTGATTATCATTTATTGTTTTATTTTTGGTTCATTTGTTGATGAATTTTCAGTGTGTTGAAATTTTAGGCAAAATAGAAGAATTGGAGCTGAAAGTTGTCTTTTGTGTGTAGGAAATCTACTATCTGTCTTCTTTGAAAGTCTATATCTGAATTTGGGTCCCTTATTTCTAGTGCATATGAGTGAATCTGGAATCTTTTTTCAGTTTACTGCTTCAGTTTTAATGCTGTCTTTATTACTCTACAATCATTTAGAAAACGATCTTTGTTTGCAAGACGCATTCTTCACTTTTTGAATAATCTTATGTTCTTCTTACATCTGTTTTTATTTTCTTTCCCGGGATTGCATGACCTTTATCATTTGCTACTAACAGTTGCACGCAAATTGCTATAACTAGAGGGCACCATGTGTCTTGTTGCCCAATTGGTACATAAATGCTACAGAGCCTCACTGCATTGGTACGTGAAGAGTTTAATGTGATGCATGATGCTCTTAATAACAATGCGAAGAAAAGACGAGAAAAGCTTGAGGAAAAATATACTGTTTATTAATGAATAACGTTAGATCCAGCAAAATTTTTCTGTTTAGTGAAGTGACTGAGGTTAACCATAGTCTTCAAGTCCATGTCTAACTTGACCGTCACCACCATAATTATTGTTGTCAGCTATAATCCTCTTCAAAATAATATTTGTCAGTCTCATGCTCTCTTATAGGCTGAGTTGATATAGTTATTGTAGACCGGTAGTAATTTAAACAAGAATTTTGTCAACTGGAAATTGGAATTATTAAGATTTTTATAGTAGTATCACCTTGTGGTACCATAATTATTTTATTAAATGGAGGTTTATAATTTGCATATACGTCTCCATTTAGCCTTAATTTTGTCCTTGTAGTTCATTAATTTTTGAAGTTCAGTACCAAAGAGGAATTCCACCTCTTTTTCTTTTTTTTTTCTTTTCTTTTCTTTTAATTTCTAGAGATATGATGGCAGTATGTGATATATAGTATGAGACTTTGGTTGTTTTTTATTTTGTTTTTTCTTTCTGTGAAGGACTCCTTGTTTTCCTTTTCTCTTGTACTTTTCTTCTTTTCTATTAATTCTATTAATATTTCTTTTGTTGCCGATAAAAAAGAAGTTGCGTATTATGATCTTTCCAGCGGCACTGAATTTTTTTATTATTTGATTTATGTTGTATCATCTTGTCATGTATGTTACAATCAAGCCTAATAGCATCACACTCACACACTTATTCATTGACAGTATCTTATATTATACCTTCATTTTGGTTCGGTAGATACACAAGAAATAAAAAAGTGCTTGTTGTCATGCCTAGGAGTCAGATAACAACCGCACACAAGCACCCAAACAAGAACATATAAATATTTACATGGTTTAGTGAATCGCCTACGTTCACAGGCAACGGATTTCACTATATAGAGAAAAATATAAAATTACAACAATGGAGGAGGAAGAGACACTAATCTCACTCAACTCTTGCTCACACTCTTGTACACTGTAATTTCCCCACAGAACTCCCTCCTACCTCTCCCTATTTATTGTTAGACAATCTTCATTGTGTTAATTTAATTTTCTGTTTATGTACTCAACAACAAAACAAAACACAGAAATAAATAAATTTAAAAGAAAAATTTTTCAGAATTTGTTTAATTACAAAAACAAAATAGAAATTAGAAATAGAGTAGGAGGAAGGAAACAAAATAAGAATAGGAAAATACTTACAAAAAATATTTTTTTAAGAATGACCAAGTCCAATGTTTTACATTGTCTACTTAAGACAGATTCGTCCTCTCTAGGGTGCTCACAGATTATGGACGTCTATCTCTCAAGATGAAATAATCTACAACAAACAGTAGCAACACTACAAATTGTTCGTACAACGAACACACGTTGTGTATGTGCTCTTTTTCACAGAAACACAAAAGCAGCAGAATGTAGAAAGTAATAGCAAAAGCAAGAACGGAAAAATTGATTGCAAAATCCAAATGAGGGATTGACTATTTATAGGAGAACGGTGGCTTTTTAGAATAGAATTCAACAGGTATAAAACTTGTACGCGACAAAGTTGAACATGTAAAAACCTGTTCAGACAAATTTGAACAGATAAAACCTGTTCAGGATAAATTTAAAAAGGTAGGTGCCGTTTGGTAACACTTTTAACGTTTCAGTTTTTAGTTTATATTTACAAAAATTTTAAAAACTCAAATAAAAACTTGTTTGGTAAATTTTTGATTTATAAATCAGTGGTCTCAGTTTATAAATTTGGCCAAAAAATGTAAACTCAAAAAATGAGTTTACGTTTTGAGTTTTCAGTTTTTTTTTTTTTACCACCGAACACTAGCCACCACCCGCTACCATTTTCCACCACCGTCTTCCGCCACCACCCACTCTCTACCACCACATGCCACCACCACTCACCATCCACCTGCTACCACCATCATCCACCTGCTACCACCACCCACCTACCACCCATCACCCACCACTACCCACCCACCTGCCACCCACTCGCCACCACTACCCACCCCCCGCTACCACCACTACCATCATTGCTTATCACTATTGCTATCACTATGTCACTACCATCACTATCATCATGTGATTAAAAAGTAGTAATGTTATATAATCACACTTTTAATTAAAATGTGTGATTAAAAAATATATATATAATCACACTTAATTGAAAAGTGACATAAAAAATAAATATTATCACACTCAATCAAATTAAGTGTGATTAAAATATCAATCTAATTTTTTTTATCACCCTTCCAATAAAAGTGAGATCTTTTTTTTTTTGTCAAAGTGTGATCTTTAACTATTTTTGTAGTAGTGCACCTATCCGCCACCACCCACCACCACCCGCCATTCACCACCCACCTGCCACCACCATCCACCCACCTGTCACCGCTTTCCACCACCATCTTCCACCGCCGCCACCCGCCACTTGCCACCACTTTCCACTACCGTCTTCCACTACCACCACCCACTCACCTGCCATTTGCCACCACTTTCCACCACCGTCTTCCACTACCACCACCACCCACTCACCTGCCACTTGCCACCACTTTCCACCACTGTTTTCTGCCACCATCACCCACCACCTGTCACCATTTTCTACCACTGTCTTCTGCCACCCCCACCCACCATCATTTTCCACCATCGTCTTCCGCCGCCACCACTCGTCACCACTCACCACCCGTCACCACTTGCCATTTCTCACTCTTTTTTATATTTTTAAAATTTTTTAAATATTTTGTCTAAACCAAACGCGTTTTTAGTTTATGTTTTTCTAAAAATAAACAAAAACCAGTTTATAAAATTTTTGTAAATATAAACTGAAAACGTAAACGTACCAAACATGCCCGTAAGAACCATTTCGGTTTGGAGAAATAGGTGCATTGGACAAAACTGTCAACATTCAGAAACATTGGGATCAATTCGGAATTAATTTTGAATTTCAAACTGAAATTCAAATTCCAAACGGTAAAAATTTAATTTTAGAAAAAAACGAAATTCAAATATTTTTTGCTCAAAAAAGATAAGCAAGCCCAACCCAACCTCACACTACGCACTTGCGCCCAAGCTGCCTGGATGGACAATGCCACATGTGTTTGTTTTAAGTCCAATGAGTCTAATCCACTTTGCCTATAGCCTCACCCTTCCACAAAACTTGGGTATCCCTTGGGTCTCTCCCCAAGATGCAAACCCAAGACTTATAAACCCACACCAAGTTTGCCTACCAAAGCAATGTGGGACATATCTGAACTCCATCCTTTATGGAAACTTCACCAAAATACTATTTTCATGAAGCTCATTTTGGCATCGATTTCCTATTCATTCTATAATGGTTTTAAGCAATCAAATATACGACGTGAATTGTTACACGGTAAAAAACTCGTTTGCCACATGGACCCGCTAACTTTGATGCATGAGTCCTACCTAAAAATTAGATCAAAATGTAGGAAAAATCTATTTTTGCCAAACCATTTTTCCAAACCATTTCTTACATTCATACACAACAAATGAAGAGGGAGAACAGACAAAGGGAGAGTGCCAGCTCACTCTCCTCTTTCGGTGGAAAGCCTTGGACAGCACATGGTGGGATCTCATTTTCCTCATTTCTGTACCTACCCCTTGACTTAGAGTATTTCGGTCCCTACTCCTTGACTAGAAGCATCCAAGCCAATCTTCAACACTTGTTTTGTTCACTGACTATGTGATGCCCCGAATCTACACTATTGGTTACAGTCAAGGGAGACTCACTAATGAGTCCTATGGTCAATAACCAAGCAAGATCCCAAATCGCTAGAGGAGTCAAATTAGCCTCCCTTCTAAGTCCAGCTTTTTAGGCAGCGCACGACCCTTTTGGCAGATCTTAAAAGGTATTGACACAAGGTCTCATAAGCAACGATAAGGTTCATACATATAAGTATTAGAATATAAGTACATAACAACCACGAATATCCTTAATTTCAAAAGCTTGTTCCATTACATTACATCCCAAAAAGAAAATTTAAATCTTCATATGAGTCTTACAAAAATATCAA